GCATTGTATATTTCTTCAGCAATTTGAAAGTCATAGGAGAATTTCTTTGCTTGATCTTCATGTATCCTTTTTCCAATACTCATCGTCACTCTTCAGTTTAATGATTCATGTCATCCATTCTTATGGGGAATTTCCAAATCCAACATCTTTGAAGGTCTGACTGACTTTTTGGAAATCATCAAGCATGGCTTCGACTTCTGTGCTTAATTTCTTGTTTTCGTCTTTCCAAAAATGGGCTTGAGCTTCATAAAAATTCTCTCCCTTGTGATTACTTCTATTGATGCTCTTACCATAAAAGGCTTTCGGTATCAGTCTAACAGGATTTTTATGTGCATACCCCTCAATTATTTTAAAAGCTTCCTCAAGATATCCTTCTTTGGCTGCTTCACTGTTTACTTGATCATGAAACCCTTTGTCCAAAATGAAAACCTTTGATAATCACTCTTGAATCACACCCTTGAGTATGTTATGATTATGCAAATACAAACAAAATAATTAATATATTTATTTTCAAAATATATAAAAAAATTGGTTAGTAAGAAAAATTATATCCCTAACCTCATGCTTTCTAGTTCCATGCTTTGTTCAGGAAAAATAACCTAGCTGCATGATTTCTAGTTCGTATGCATTTATTTAGAAATAAATGAAAATAATATTAAATAAGTAAAAGACTCAACGTGTTTTTCCTTGTGTGATCGTCTTAAAAGACTTAATCAGGCTAGGCTCCACCTAAACTCCAGTTTTAGGTTTTACTATATGCTAGGTTTTGGCTCTAGAGTAATGAGGGTTAATGAATTGTCCTTTGTTATTATCCCCTTCGACTGCCAAGCTCTCAATCCTGGTCTATTACAGACTTTTGGATTAAGTTCAATTCGAAGGAATACACTTCCTTATGTCCATACGGAGGTGAAAACCACAGGAGGATCATAAGATGTGAGCTCAAAGAATGGTCCTCTATCCCATACGGAGGTGAAAACCACACAAGGGAGTAGTTTCTAATTCACTTAAACATGATAAGAGCGGGGTTTTAGCTCATGACATGAATGTAGTGCATAGTGGGTGAGGAAAAGCATAACAAAAATAATATACAACCTATTATTCTATTTTAATGACTCAAAATTAAATTTGTATACATGAAAACAAAAAGTCAGTAAAATAATAATAATAATTAAAACAAATTTATTATTTATTGCAAAGATAAATAATTAAGAAATTGGTGGTTAGACTCTCATTTTTTAAGAGAAAACTCCCCAGCGGAGTCGACAACCTGTCGAGATGTTTCTCTACCCTGGCGACGGAGAGTGCAAATAGTATACCCCAAATGGTGTAACTAGTCTCGAAAAAGTAAGTGTTTATCCTCCTTGAATAAAATGAAACACCAAGTTGTAGAGTCGCCACCAATCTTTTAATTCGGTGAGATTGGTCACCAAAATGTCATATTATTTTAATAAAAATTCCTAAGAATAATATTAAAATAATACAACTCGAGTCTGCTTACCAGAAAAATGAGTTCGGGAGTCGGTTACGTATGGGGAAGGATTAACACCCCCATACTGCCCAAAATTAGTACCGGTATTTATTAATTAGTGTCTTTGCAATAAATTATAAATTTTTATTTAAAGCTTAATATAAATAAATAAAAAAATCTATTATTAATTATAATATAAAATTATATTATAATCATATTAATTATGTATGATAATAATCCTAATATATATAACTATTATCACATAATGTATATTAGAAAATAAATATTAATGTTAATTAATACGAAATAATCCTAAAATTATATACAAGTTGTGTAATTTATCCTAAATTATTAATATGGGATTAACATATAAATTTATTAATATTTAGGGACTAAATGCATAATTTTACCTTAACATACTTATATATATAATAGTGACTAAAATACAAATTTTAAAAACATAAAAACAAAATTAAAATATATGAAAAACCTGATTTTGGGACCAAAATGGAATGTTTACAAAGCTGGAGTGATCGCGCGTATAGTTTACCCATACTAAAATTACAAAGATACCCTCCCCAAAACGACGTCACATGAGGGAGGGTATAAATGCATAATAACCGGCCCTAAGGCCTTCACTCTTCTCATTTCTCCCTTCTTCCTCTCTCTCTAAACCGAGAGAACCTCTTGGTTCTCTCTAGCTTCCTCGCTTGAGGAAGACCGATCACTGATCGACCGTCCTATTTCGCTGATTTCCGCCGCCACCGGCCACCACACACAGTAGCCAGAATTTACAAAAACTTCCCAAATCGTAGATCAAAATACCTTCTATCCAAAACCACACTCATTTTTCTCTAAAACCTGACCAAAAGCAATTGATCTAGGATTTTACCTTCGATGAAATGGAGTTTCCAATGACATTTGGGCTTTGGTGATGGTAAGTTTCCTCACTCTCTTCTCTCGACTTTTTGTTACTATTGTGGATCGTTGTGATAGCCTTCTATTTGCTCTCTATTTCTTATGGTTATTCCCTTTTCTTGCTCTCTCTCTGTCTATCTTGCTGGATCGATCGAGTCCTTTTATAGGGCTCGGTGGTGTATTCTTTGGACTGGTCACAAGGGTGCCCTTCAGTGAGTCACCGGAGCTACGGTGGTGACTCACCCTAGGGTTGCAACTTGTACGGCTGGTTTGCATCTTCTAGAGAATTCTGGAGTGCTCTGGTGATATCTGGAGAGGCGGCAACGGCGTGGCAACCTTTGGTTGGAGCTATGGTGGCGGTAAGATGATAACCCTAGGGTTTTTAGGGTTTTTGTTGGGCTGATATGGACCCTTGATCTGCATTGAGATTAAACGGTGGAGAGCTGTGCGACGTTGGAATATTCGGTGAAAACCCTAACTACTGATGGGTATCTCACACGGGCCTACTAACATTGTTGGGCCTGGATGAGTTTGGGCTTGCATCTGACTCATGCTCGGGCTTGGTTGTAGTCGGGCATGTGTGCCTTGTAATCGGATTGTCCTCTCGTAAATGGGCATGTGTGCCTCACTTTGTAACCGGGCTTCGGGCTTTATAAATAATACAATATAATAATATATTAATACATATATGATATATATATTAATACAACACTCGGACGAAAACTAGTGTCAACATGTAGTTGCTTCAGTCCAATACCCCAGTTATCAGAAACTTTGGCTTGATGATGGGTGATACAAGGCAAACCCTTCAGTTGAGTGGGAATATCCGATGTTGTGTGATATCGAGATTTCTTCTCGATGGTCTACCTGATGCTATGTGATACCAGGAGATCATCCAGCAATTTAGAGGGACCATATCGACACTATGTGATACTTGTACCCCCTCTCACTAGGCTAGTGTCTGATGCTTTAAGATACTAGATACTAGCATAGCAGAGCCAATGTTGCATTCAGATAATGCACCACAGAGTCAGTGTTTCATTCAGGACATGCATAGTGGTGTTATAGTCGCTTTTAGATAAGGTGTGCAATCATTAAGGTTAGGACCCCCTTTTAGTGGTGTGCTCATGGCGAGGCCCTCAGCAGAGGACTAAAGGAAGTGTGAGACTCATACTTTAGTGATAGAACAGTAAAGCCTTAATTAGGTAGCACTTGATCAAGATCATGTATGTGCCTATTGCTTAGTACATAATCTTTAGCACACTTATGTTTATGAAACTCTTAATGATGCTCTAGATTAGCGATTATAATGTTGGGCTTTGTAAGCTCAGCCTTCAGATATTTTTCGTGGGCAGGTTGGTAGCTTGAACAGTTCGTGGAGTATCATCACAGTAGAACTTCTAGCATCTCCGATATAGTACTGTACTGTAGCATAGTGGGCATATGTATTCATAGAACTTTACTCATGTATTCAGTTTTTTAAACTCTGTGTCTGTATTATTTTGGTTTTAAAACATGTGTCACAGAGCTCCAGTTTTGTAAAATGTTTTATGCCAATTAAATGTTATTTAACTATGATACCATTCAATATGTTTGAAAAGAAAATGAACAAGTTAAGAAAAATCAGAGGTTGCCTCGGGCTCAGTGGGGTACTTTAGACCCAATCGGGTTTAGAGTGTTACAACCAAACTCCACCAACTGGCTGGACGGGTGAAACCAGGAACCATAGTTTTTCTTGTACAACAACTATATAAGGATCATATAATAGTTTATGCACATTTGGTCGGTTCAACCTATGGTATGTTTTTTTTAGCTGCACTCTATTATCTTTCCTAATTGCAAGATGAAGATGGAAATGCATTATTCTTCTGTATTTACAGGTAGAGCAACTTGTGTCAAATTAGATTCAGATGCAAAGTACTTGAAAGTGGGATCAATGGATCATAACGTAAGCATATTTGACCACTGGTCATACAATTTTGCGTTTGGGCTTCTAAGAAATGGGATACTACAAGAGGAGAGGGATTACAATGGAATTATTGTATGATTTGGACTTTTATTGTAATTTGAAAATTTCATGGTTGCTATTATATTTTGTAAAAAGTATGCGTCATTATTATAATTTGTGAGATATTGTCATTTGTTGTAATTTATAAAAGATTTATTCTTTGTTGTAATATTAAAAGATTTGTCTTTTATAGTAATTTACAAAAGATTTGTCTTTTATCATAATTTATAAAAGTTTAGTGTTTTTAATGTTTTTGTGATGATATTATTTTTTAATATAACATATTTTTAAAAAAATTTAATAACGAATTGTGATGATATTATTTTCTTTATTTATATAATAAAATTATTATATTATTGATGACGATATAAATAATTTAATGACAGTTTTATATTATTTGATGGCATAATTAAATTTCATTAAATACAAAATATAATATTATATTATTTATTAACATCACCGTACGATTAACAATAGGTGATGAAAATACATATATCGTCACCTTTGACACTTAATGATACATTTAGGATGACATTTGTCGTGACATCAATTTTAACGTCACGAAAGACAAATGGTGACATAAATGCAAGTTTTAATGATAATATTTTAAACATAGAAAATAAATAAATTTGTGGTAGTGTGAGCTATGGCTATAAACAATATAATCATAATAGTAAAAGGTTTTGTTTTGTTCCATGCCTTGCTTGTACTAGGGGCGATGCTTCCTTCATTGCTTGTACGAGGGGGAATGCTCTGTTCATTCCTAAAGAAATTATGGGGATCTACGACTGTCTTCACGTCCACCAATCTCTCAAAATTCACATCGAAATAACTCTCCCCATAAACTTTACCTTCTTTGTAACTCCAATTCCTGCTAATCCCAATTTCAAGATCCCTATAGTTCAAATAAGCACTCCTTGGATTCCTTGACACAAAGCCAGTCATGTAACCATGAAGTTTCTTCACCAAGTCTTTGTTCCTTTCGTCAGCCTCCATGCCTGCCTCTTTCCAGTTTATCGAATACTGTATCTTGAACAGATTCCCGGATCGATGCGGGAACGGTGTTTCTGTGGCGTTGATCTCATTCATTCTCCCTCCATATGGATTGAAAACCAACCCTGGCTCTCCTAGTTCAATCATCTTCTCCCAAAGCCATTGCAGCCCTTGTTTTGGTATCGGGGTCTTGACATAATCCGACTTCCTCTTCATGAACTTGACATGGTAAGAATCTCTATTTAGCAACACATTAGGCGAAGCTCCCTTGTCGAAACTAGCCCACCATAGAGCCGATTCGATCCAACTCATCTCGAAGCAATCCTGTTTTCCAAGACCCAATTCAGGGAAATCCTTGGCCAACAAAGAAACAACATCATTAGCAGGCCCTAAATACAGTGCATAGATCGAGATTCTTATGGTCTTTTGCTTGTTTAATGTAACCGGCTGCACAAGCATCCTCATGAACAAACCATCATCTGTTGTTGGAGCAATGGTTTGCCACTTATAAACAACGTCAGTTGCGTTCTGTTCCAAGGTTCTTTCAACTCTAAAAACCGTCATGGTTTCGGGTACACCAACGAGCTGGATTTTGAAAGCTAAAAGCACCCCGAAACTAGCTCCGCCACCGCCTCTGATGGCCCAGAAAAGATCCTCCCCCATAGATTTTCTATCGAGAATCTTACCGTCAACATCAACTATCTTAGCATCCACCACATGGTCCACCGATAAACCATGTTTTCTCACCATGTTACCATACCCAGCTCCACTTATATGACCACCAACACCAACGGTAGGACAAACCCCCGCAGGAAAACCATGGACTTTGCTGTTCTCCCATATGTTATAATAAAGTTCCCCGAGGGTCGCACCGGCCTGAATCCAAGCCGACCGATCCTTCATGTCGATCGATATTGAACGAAGATTAAACATGTCGAGGACAAAAAAGGGTTGGTCGGATACATAGGAGATACCCTCAAAATCATGGCCTCCGCTTCGGATTCTGAGATGAAACCCGATGTTCTTGGAGCATATGACGGCTGCGGAGACATGGGATTCGGTCAGAGGCGTGACGATGAGGATGGGTTTAGGTGTGGAAGTAGTGTTGAAACGAGCGTTACGAATATAGTGTTGTAAAACAGGTTCATAGGATGAACTGGAGTGAGAGTAAACTGTGTTAGAGATACTATTATCTGATGGAGTGGAATGGTTTTTTAGGCATTGGAGAAAGGATTCATAGACTGAATCGGCGGCTGCACACGGCAAACATACGGTGGTGAAGACGATGATTGAAACAACAGTAGTTAACGATGTCGACAGTGGCGGCATTGCTCGTAGTCGGCGTGGGATATGGTTTGCTTTCTATTTCGTTCATCGAGAAGGGGGTTTAAGATGGAGGTGGCAAATGGGCAATAGGACAACGTGGCATCTTAAATGCGGCGAAAGTAGCATAGTGTAGACCGACACAGGGCAGAATGTGGAGTGTGCTTATTCGTTAAGGCAGGAGACGGTCCACCCAAGAAAAAGGAGCTGTAATAGATGGACATAAACCGACTACAAAATATTTTTTAATTTTTTTATCTTATAAGTTTTATCTCAATTATAATTATATTTTTATTGTAAAAATGATGAATCCGACCCTTATTCGCGAAAAAGATGTAAAACAAAAACCAGAAAACAAGGCAACATATAGTTTTACAAATTGGTTCTGTAGTAGAAGTTACAAATAATCAAGAGTCACGGTTTATGTGTATATGCTCAAGCAGCTGCTATCTAAATAAAAACAGATTTCTATTCTGCCATGACAATCTTCCAGGATCCAAGGCATGGTATGCTTTGTTCATATCTAAAGAAGTTACCTGGATCAACCTTACTTTTCACTTGAACCAATCTATCAAAATTGCCTTTGAAATACTTTCTTCCCCATATAACAGCCTCCGAGTAGCTTGCATTGCCATTTTCATTGATCCCTATGTCCACATCTCTGTAGTTCAGATATGAACTCCTAGGAGATTTCGACACATAAGGTGTCATATAATTGTAAAGCCTTCGTATCTGATCTTAACTCCGGTTCAATGCCTCGTCGCCTTCGTCTTTCCAGGTGACCGAGTATTGGATTTTGTATATGTTCCCTGCTCTATGAGGAAACGGGGTATCGGACTCTTTGAATGTCACTCATTTTCCCACCATAAGGATTCAATGTCAATGCAGGTCTTTTGAGTTCAATCATTTTCTTCCAAATTTCTCCTTCGAAATCGGTTCCTGCACGTAATCCGATTTCTTCTTCAGGTACTTTTCTTGTTGAGGTTGTCTCTGAAGCAACACTTCCATGGATGTTCCAATGGGATAATTAGACCAAAACAGTATCGATTTGATCCAGCTCGTTTCAACACAATTCTCAGGCAATAAACCCAATGCCGGGAGATTTTCATTCACGACTGAAGTCAGTTCTTTAGCATTACCAAGAAACAATCCAATGAACTTAGCTTTAATGGACTGCAAACGCTTTTTATTCACAGGTAACAGAACAACTCTAATGAACAAATTTTCATCTATCTTATCAGCTATATATTGCCATTGATGAACTATATCAGTTGCACCTTGCTCTAATGTCTTCTCAATTCTAAAAACAGTAACAATTTCAGGGACAGAAACTAACTTGATTTTCCAATGAAAGTATAACTCCAAAGCTAGCTCCACCACCTCCTCTGATAGCCCAAAAAAGATCCTCCCCCATTGATTCTCGATCCAAAACATTGCCACCGACATCAACCAGTTTCGCATCGACAACATTATCGACAGACAACCCATGTTTCCTCATCATGTTACCATATCCGCCGCCGCTAAAATGACCACCAACACCTACTGTCGGACAAACACCGGCGCGAAAACTTTGGATCTTGTTTTTTGACCGATTGCATAGAAGAGTTCACCCAAAGTGGCACCTGAATCAACCCAAGCGAACCCATCCTAGCCAGGGTTTTGCAGCAAATGATGGAAGAAACTTTAAAATACTTTATATTTAGGCACTAAATTTTAGTGTGTATCATTTTGGTCTCTCAAACAATAATTTACTCCTATAGCCGTCGTTTTCAAAAAATCATTGTTTTTCATCGATCGTCATTTGTAACAAGATTGATACTAAAACATTCACATTTCATTTCTCTTTTTTCTTTTTGAATTGATTTTTCATGAAACACACTTAAACACGATGAAAATTTATCTAAAGATTTTATGTTCTAATACTCTGATCTCCTTCAGTGGTCTTCCAATAAAATTAGTTTTAGAAATATTAATAAGAATTACTTTTCCAAATAATTTTGAAATGATATTATTTCTCAAAATAGATTTGAAATATTTTTGTTAAAAATTCGACTTCGACTGAAATTAAATTGCATACATTTTTTCTTAAAAAATTGCCTTTTAGTTTAGACCTCAAAGGTGACTTAGACCTATGATTGAATCATCATTGTCTAAACTTGCATCCATAATTAAATTCCCCATGATGCATAAAAAAATTTAACTACCACCGTAGTTGAATTTGCTTCATGATGACAAAATTATGATCTTAGATACTATATTAAAAAAATCCAAATTCTAACATAATCGAATTATTCCTTTAAAAAAATTATTATTTTATTTTAAAATTAGATAACCGATGAAGTTTAACGGATAATCAACTAAACTTAATAGATTTAACTCGAGTCAACTATCTATTTTTAATTTTGAATCAATTCAGAAATAATATATTTAATATATAAATATTAATACAAACTTCTAAATTTAATCGTTGATGACGTTATAATTTATTTTATTAATAAATAAACAAACAATAAACAAATAATTGCAACCGGTTGTTAATATGTTCTCCGACGAGAATATAAATTTATAGACTAGATTTTACCAACGGTATGCATTAAACCAAGTAGTGTTATCTTTACTGAAATAAATCCCATCTGCCCTCACCGACCACATGCAAGAGTTATGGTACTCCAAGCACTTTTTTTCCGTCTCTTTTGGCCTCAAAAGCATCAAAAGACATACTCTTGTAAGTTGTAACCCACCCACTGCGAATTGCAAAGGAAAATAATCGGCCGGAAAAAATTGATCTTGGTGTCCCACGTGTAATCTTGCCCCTTCATCATCGGTCTGTCGCCGATGTCCCTCTTCTTGGACTTGTAATGTAGGAACAAATTCTGGTTGGGTGGTGAATTAAGTAAAGGCAAATCGTTCGTGACATGAATATAATAATTCATGAACCAATCACTCTCTGCAAATGGAAGGAGGGAAAATGCTAGCAGCAATGGGAGGGTAATACTTTTGAGATTGCCCATGCTGCTTGTCATATGTTATGTGATCACCATATAAGATTTTCTAGTATTTATATTTTGTTTTTGAATCATATATGGGTTTTTTTTTTATAAAAATGATATCTAATAAATTTTGGGTTTGAATTAGTTAAAAAAAATCAAGAATTGTCATAATTTTTCGAATCAAAATTAGCTAATAATATTAATTAAAAAATCACTTTTTTTTATGATTCAAGAAGATCAATCCAAGGAGAAGATGCATTAAGATTGCTTAAAATCTTAAAAGAATATCATTCTTACAATGCAAGTAATCAGATTATTTTATTATTATAAAAGGATTCATAGATAACATCATCTATATTGCTAATGAAATGAACAAAAATTATATATTTTAAATACATAAAATATAAATATAATCCTAATTTATCAAAGAAGAAACCTTAAAACTCTAATAAAATTCATTTTTTAATAAGGTTTTGGGACTGATATATCTTATTCTCTAGTTTGCAATGCAAATAAAAGTAGGACACATCGGATTAGGAAAATGAAATTGATGATTAGGCAAATAGTTGGTGATGCGGATGTGGTATTCTTTGAACATCGTCGCTCCAAGTGCGCCCATCTATTAGAAAAGAGAGAAAACACCAGCAGCAGCATTGCCAAGACAAAGGTTTTGATATATAAAGTAGTAGGCTTACATTCTTTATCTTTCTTGATTATTATATGCATAAAAACATGGAATACTATTTTATATGTATAATTAACTATTATTACTTTTTAGAATTTTTTTTTAAAAATATTTTAGTACTAAATTTTAAAATATTTCAATTCTAATATTGAATTTTGATTTTAGCTTTAATGTAGGCATTGGGTTGTTAAATTGCTAAGGGTGTTATGATGTGGCGATTTTCTTTCTCGTAAACTTTAGTTTATGCCATTAAATTTTAAAATGATTTATTTTTAGACATTCCACTTTAATTTATGTATATATTAAAATATTCATATATTCAAATTCATTCAATTAAAAGTTTGAGCTTAGTGTTGAAAATAGAAATAGTTTGTATGTATATATGCCATGTTTCATTTTTTTTTCTTAGGATACATATGAAAGAAATAGTCTTAAAATAGTATTATTTCTCGAAAAAAAAAAAACTTTTGTTAAGAATTTAATTTTGATTCGATTCAAATTTTATACTTTTTTTCTTTCTTAAAAGTTCCCTTAGTAGGATCTCACAGGTGTGATTGAAGCTCATGATTGAGTTATTATTATCTAAACTCGATTATTTTTGTAGTTAAAATCTCGCTTATCAGTTGGGAACAGTTTGAAAAACGTTCTTCATCAGGGAACCTATTTGTCTAGCCCAATGAATTAGGGTTCACACTTTAGCATTAGTGCCGCACGCTCAGGAACCATCAGATCAGGGGGTAAATGAATGACCCAGGTCGTAGGAAATCTAAGGTTTTAAAACCCTAAAAAATAATGTCATACACGCAGCTGCTTTAGCAACCGTTGGATCCAAGCCCTTGATCCAATGGTTCATAATCCACCAAAGAACGGAAAAGGTCACCAGACGATCAATTAACGGGGTGTGAGAACCACACGCCGGGAAATTTCCTCAAACGCGTAACACACATCGAACATCACAAGAAATTGGAAAGATTTATTTCCCAAAACATCAATCGAAGCAAATTCGAACCAAAATAGTGCAAATCAGAGCCGAATCAAATCCCAAACAAAAATGGAATCGAAGTCAACAAGGAGATGGCATCAAATCGGCATGCATTGCAATAAAACCGAAAAATAAAAACGAATCAAAGAAAGGGGAAACGATTTCTATCAAATCCCACTAGTTTTAGGATTACATCTCGACGAACTTATGGAAAAACGCTCCCCACTCAAGCTATAAATCTTGTAAAGAATCAAAGAGGGAGTCATTTGTTTTGGGAGAATGAAATTCGAAACATACAAAAAAATAGAGAAAGAAAGGAAGCTTAGCTTCGCACTTGCTTAGAGGACGA